TTGATATTCAACAGAAGTCTGGTGTTTGAAACCAAGTTCTTCTATGGCATCCAGCATTTCTGGAGCATTGTCGGTGTACACTATACCAACAATATCAGAAGTCTTCAGAAAATGTTTGAAAGCCTTAACAATAGAATCGGCAGTCTTGTTTTCAGAAGGGTAAACACATCTGTATTGAGTATAAATATCTTTGATCACCAACATTGACGTTTGGCCTTCTATGCCTTCTTCAATATCTTTGGGAATAACATGGTCGCACACTATGTGGTCGCCAAACCCACGCGCCAAAACATGTTGTGATCCGCCTACGCTTCTACCGTAGGGAGCAAGCATTTTAGCTTCGCTACAAACATCGCAGTAGGGATTCTTTGGTCGATGTGTGAATTGATGCGCCCCTGATTTTGCTTCCTTTCGAAGTTGCTCTTCGGTCTTCTCCCCTGCTACGGGAACGTCTTCAAAATCAAAAGGAACCTCAACTTCTGGGTCACTGTCCTCTTCGTCCTCCTGTCCATCATCGGCATTGGCATCTACGCCAGCTTCGTCAGCCTCCTCTTGGTCTTCCTCGGGTTCGGACTCATGGCTGGCCATGGCGTAGCCCTGGTCGATGGTGAACTGGTGGATGGAATCGAGTACCTTAGTAAGGCGAGTCCTCAGTGATTCAGGAATTGAGAATGGGGTACATGTTTCATCAATATATGGAACCCTACCTTGCAATTTGAATTTAACGCATTGTCCATCAGGTCGAAGAAATATGGGAGTAGTGTCCTTTCCCCAAACAAAATCATATCCCTGTTCTAAGCACCTCAAACCAATTGAAAGTGCAGAGGGAGTACTTTGGAGAATGTAGGGGTTGAAGGATTCACATAACCCTGGCAAGATCACCTCTACTACTTCGTCAGCAGTGATAGGTCCATTGGCAGTAGTAAGGGAGATTGGTTCGTTGGATTTGAATATCTTGGTGGCCCTGTTGACTGTCTTAGAGTCCTTACCTACGATGTCCTGGTCAGTGCCAGTGTCACCCAGCCACTTCTCCATACCAACCATATTTGGCATCGCTGTTAAGCGAGCACATGACGGCACCTGTTCTCCGACGACTGTTCTGCACTTTGTGCAGCACAAATCATCGGGGCCTTCTGGGGAATGTTCACAAAGGAAATCACACGCAGGCTCCTCGGTATCCATCGAAACGAGCATCTGCCTAAGTGACTCCGCTGCCAAAATGGCGTCCTTAGTGTCACACTCGCGGGACTTTGGGCATTCCTCAGTGGTCCGGAACAGGTTCCGCTTCTTGCTCTTATTCACTACATGCCGGTACATTTCCTTCCAAACAGGAAAGGTGTGTACCTCCGGTTCTAATTCAAAACGAATTCTCTTCTCTTGCACAACACGGAAAATTGACTTTCCAGTCCAATCAAATTTCTGTTTCGCGTTTGGGTGTTTCTTCCAATTACCCTTGATTGTCCTACTCTTTCCCTTTGAGTCAGTGACTACCATGGTAAACTGGTCTTCCAACCTAGATGACTCAACTGGACAGGATTTACGTGTTGGGAGAAACGACCTGTGCCTAGGCTTCAAATGGTGCCTAATCAACTCATTGCCATCTTTGGAGAGTTCCCAGTAGTCTTTACTCTTTTGGGTCCGAGTTGCGGTTACTGCTAAGCAAGACATTGCGAAACCTGTTTGAATACATGGACTGGCCTTTGGACTTTTGTCCTTCTTTTCCCGTTTGCTCTTTTTGTCCTTTTTGTCCTTCTTGGATTTCTTGTCCTTAGACCTTTTAGCTGCGGGCGAGGGACTCCTTCTGCGCGGGGCTGGTGTTGCAGTGTCTCCGTGTTTAAACGGGCATTTGTCACCCCTTTTGCAGTTACCCTTTGCAAAGAACCTGCATGGCTTGTCAGATTTCCTCCCTCTACTTGAGCTTCTTGATGAGTTCCTTGAACTGGAGCGGGAAGTGTGTCTTGACGAACTTCGAGATCGGCTTGACCTGAACGATGAACGGCTGCTCGGACTTGCGCTACGCGAACGAGACGACTCCCGACTAAGGGAGCGGGGACGGGCGCTAGAGTCGTGTGAGTACTTGCATTTGCTCCCGTACTTACACTTACCAGTTTTGGCATACTCATAGCATTGATTGCTTCCGTCACCCTTTGTGCTTCGTTTGCCATAACTTGGGCTTCGCGTGCGCTTGTCGTGCGGTGCCGGGTTTGCGAACTTTGCCGCGTGTGATTGTGATATCTTTTCGCGATTGGTCCTGAGCCTTTCCCTGTCAAGGTAACGTCGAACAGAATTGATAAGAAATTCATAGCTTCTGTCGTTACTTCCCTCCGGCGCTCGTTCATAAACATCAAGGTCAAATCTGAGCTTGCGGGACTTCCTAACCTCTCTATAAAACAGATCCTTGAGAGTTGCCGGGTCTGGGACATGACTCATTCCGGTCAGAACACTCTCCCATTTTCTTAGAAAGGATTTCAAGTCGTCGCTATCAAGCGAGATCTTGAGGAGGTCCTCAGTGCCATATAGTGCACCCGCTTCTTCACTGGTCTTGAAGTGGACTTCAAACATGAGCAACACCTGACGACCACGGACGATCCTACCTTGCTGTGCCTCAGATTCCTTATAATTAAGGATCTGCTGAGACAGTTCACCTTTGGCAACCTTAGTTAAAGCAGCAAGTAGTTTCGTGTCTAAGGTCCGAAACTTGCCTGGGTCAGCCAATTCGGAACAAAGCTTGGCTTTGTCTTCACGAACAGCGTACACCTCAAGCACCCATGCAAACGCAGCGTCTGGGTCATCGGACGCGGACCGTATCGCTTCGCGAACCGCGGCCCTCCAAGTGCGGTACCTGTCAGGACTTGGGAATTCAGGGAGATCTATCTTGTCAGCCTCCTTTGCCTTGGGCTTGTCGGAGTCTTTGCTTTTAGCGCCCTTAAACCCTTCTAGCAAGGCCTTCTTGATGATTTCCCCCAAATCTTGGTCTTGTGGAGTTCTTACCTGAGAAGCCGGCCCTTCTTCTCTGCGATCATCCTTAGTCTTTGTTGCTTCCTGATTAAAGGAGCTTTTGTACAAAGGATCATCACTGAAGTTGTATTGTGTTGACTTCTTCATGTACTCCGTCCACGGATCCGGTTGTTTGAATTGTTGCCTGTCTGTAGAGGCCGTTGCCTGTTCCGCTGCGGGCGCCCCTGTCCCTGAGAACATTGATGGGAATCCTGTGTTGCGCACGGACGCTGTTGCATCCATAGCTGTCTTTATAGGAGATCCACCTTTATCAAGGGGCTTACCGTCTAAGGTTGCTGGAACAGTGCCTTCCGTGCGTAGAGGTTCAAAAGATTGCGGTTGACCAATTGGGTGAGCATCTTGTCGAGCAGGAGGTGTGAATGGCTCAGGGTATTGCGGCCCTGGCTTAACGGGGCTAGAGGATTGCGCTTTGCGCTCCGCTTCCTTGCGTTCCTCTTCCCTGTCTGTCAAGGACTGTACGACACGCCTGAGCTCATCCATTTCACCCTTCAACATTGCATTGTCCTTGCGAAGCTCAACTATAGTTTGCTCTTGTGTTTCCCGATCAACTCTATGTTGCTTATTTGTAGCCTCCATTTCATTAACAAGGGTTTTGATCTTTGCCTGTGCAATTGCCAACGAACTGTCCAGTTGTTCTCGCTTGAAGTCAAGTTCTATAGCGATCCGGGATTCTTCAGCAGACGAATGTCTTGCCTGATCCTTTGCCTCTACGGCTGCCTTCAGCTTAGCCTCCTGTTGCTCAACATACTGGTGATGTTCAGTTCTCATTTTGTCAACAAAAGCGTTGCCTTCTTCCGCCATGGCATTCTTTTCCTGTACAACTTTCTCATGAGCTGCTGTCGCCTGAGCTAGCCGCTGCTGAAAATGTTCCCTTTGCTCCTCCAATGTACCTTGCAACCGTTTGATTGCAACATTGTCTTGCTGTTGGACCATTTGCTGAACACTTTGTTCCTGCTGTTGGGCCCTTTGTTGAACATTCAACATTGCCTGCTCTGCGGCAGCCTTTGTTGCCGCTATAGATTCGGAAGCTTCTCTTTCGTAAATACTCCTGAAGCGCAATGCCTCGATTTCAGCTTCCCTCCTGGCTTGTTCGCTGAGCAAAAACTCATGTTGTTGTAACTCCCGTCGTAGTTCTTCGTCGTTTGGCGATGCGTTCAGGTTGACGACGTTGAGCCGAGTCATTGCCAACAAGTTGTTTACTGTTGGCGCACCAGCTACGGTGGCTGACGGCATACCTGCTAGGGTAGCTTGTGCCGCCTCTTGAAGAGTAACACTACCACCACTATTTAGCATCTCTTGGTACACCTCCGAAGCAACCCTTGGATCCATTGCAGCCACTTGTGCAACTGCCTGTTCATGCCGTTGAACTGCATCCAAACTATTGGGCACACTCGGAACTATGTCAAAGCCACTTCCGTAGGCATTCGGTGGGACGTCGTCATCCATTGGGTCCATAGCTCTAATCTAGCTAGCCTACGGCTGATAACCTGTATTTTACAGGATCAGCTCTAATAGTACTAACTACCTAGCTAACCCTGCTAGCCCGGTAAGCGCTACCTTTTGCTCTACCTTGAGAGTCAACGCTACGGGGTCCATGGGGATGAGGTGAATTTCAACATATATATATATATATATGCTGATGGGCAGGATCCCGTGTAATTACAGGATGCCATGTCCCATATATATATATATATGCACCTGCCGCGTCTCCTGTAGCGTTTCCCATGCGGAAAGCACAAAAACAAAACAACAACAAATGCAAAGCCAAGAAGCAGAAAAGCAAGAGCGGCAAATCAGAAAAGCAAGAAGCATAAGGAATCAAAACGAGAAACTGTTCAAAAAAGAACTCCAAAAACAATAAAGCCTTCCTGATTCGTATCTAAACCATGTTTTTGCCTTCGGCAGGAGGACGAAGAAACAAAAAAAACACCGTCGCGATGGCTCTGTCTCTCGGGGGCGGACCACCCTAAATCCCGTGGCTCCTGCTGCTGCAGGGCTGGCTCCATGGCGCGGTAGAGCTCCAGAGCGAGCTGAGCCCAGGTCGTCAGCTGTGCATCCGAGAAGCGGTACCTTCTCGGGTGGAACGGGGTTTTTCACCGCTAGATGGTGTGATTTGGTCCACCCCGGAAGTGGGTACCCCGGAGCTGGGCAGAAACCGTAGGTGATACCTTGGGGAGGCGATTTGGGCGATCGCTCCGAAGATCTCGGAAACCCGAAATCGTCTCAGATCTACCCCGGCGAACACGATCGGTCTGGACCCTGATGTGGTGCACATGCTTTCTGGTGGACCTGGACAAACCCATCGGACTGGTTCTGTTGGCATTCGACCAGAAATCGCTCCATGGGATCGTTGACATCGGGATGTGTGTACTCCTTCTATTGCCACCAGTGGCTTGCTACACCTACACAAGAACCCCTGTCCGGAAGCAAGCATCTGGTTGTGTAGGCCCCAACCTGAGGCTCAAAGCCCCAACCCTTCTGGACGGCTTTCAACCCCTCTGGACGAAGTGTAAACTATCATCGCTATCATTGGAAGCAGAGAACTGCTGAAGGTAAAGCCGCTGGGCAACAGCTGAAGAATGTTTACCGCAACATCCCCGAAAAGTTGAATCCGAACTCTTCGTTCTGGGTGTGGAACAAGCAGTCACACGCAGAGTCTAGCATCACAAAATCAGAGTTAACACGGCTAACACTCGTAAAAATGTGGAACATCATTATAGTGCAAAAATAAGTCTGGATTGCCAGCCATGTCAGGTTTGGGTGAGGGTGAATGAAACTTCCTCCAACCCTTCAACCCCCATACCCCTCCTTCAGAAGGGAAAGACCGTTGACGGGGGGCAAACCAAACCAAACGGTCATTTTCAGAGAGCCCACTTTCAGCATTGGCCTGGTGTCTTCAATCACTCGTGATTCCTCCAGTGATTCCTCCAAGTGTTGACCAGGATACCCGGAGGCCAGGGCATCCAGTGGATGAATCAACTTCGACCAGTCCTCCAGTGGGGCCAAGAGGTGATGAAAAAGAAGAACAACGGCGACTCCGAAGAAAGAACAACAAAGTAAAAGGACAACGGGGGCAAGTTCCATTCGCCCAAAACCCAAGGGAGGCCACGCACAAAAATGCACAAAGTCAGTTCAAGATTCCTCCTGCCAGTGGCTTTGGAGTTGGGAGAGCAGCTCCAAGCCCTCTTCCCCAACTCGATGCCAGACCACCTTCAGGTCCAGACCCTTCACTCGCCACAGTAGCTCACTCACCAAGTCGGCACCGGTTAGAGGAACCGGCGCACCCCAACCGGCGGAGGCATCGTCGTCCAGCATCACCCGCAGGAGCATCAGCCCAGAGCATAAATCTAAGGCATCCAGAAGGCCCGGCACGGTCAAGGTGCACAGATCGCCATCCTCATCCGCATAAGCCAGTCTCCTGACGGGATCGCCCAGCCCTCTGATCCGTAACGCAGGCAAACAGGCGCCCCCAACGACCGCCAACGACCGGCACGGAAGACCTGCTCCTGATGGGTTGACCATGAAGCGCCTGCTCCACCCGTTGGAAGATGACATCCAAGGCCATGTCCGGCAAATTGCGCATCTCATCACGCTGCATGCAAACCTTGGAGGTGGTTCTTTCTACGGCGGGCATCCACAGATACTGGGAAATCTGATGTGGGTGGCAGAGGAAGATGATGGAAGATGTGGCTACCTTGGTGAGATCTGAAAGGTCCTCTTGGTGCAAGGGGTGAATGAAATGAACCCCACCTCCAGCAACCAAGGAAGAGGAAGTCTATACCGCGCCCCTTCCCGCTCACAAGATACTTCTGCTCGTGGCTTTTAGAGGTCATCAAGAGTGCTGTGACAGCCACAAAAGTGCCAACCACAATTTAGACTTGGCCCTTTGATGATACTGGTGATGTTTGAGAGTCTTCTGATCAGGATGGACGTCAGTCTTCCTGCCGAGGGCGTTTAACGCCTTGTTGATCGCAGGTGCTTCCTTTTGTCCCCGGCGTGCGGTTTTACGAAAGAACAGCTCGGAGGTTTTTGTTGCAGAGCTCTGGTGAGCCATGGGCCATGGGTCAGCCTGGGTCTGCAGCCGTCATGTCATGTGGCCTGTGGGTTGTGGACAGCTACTCATCCTCATTCTTTGGCCTGTCGGTCAATGTGTCTCCAGATAAGTTGGGAGTCGGCAACATCTGGGGCTCAGGTCAGGTCGAATCTGGCGCTCGTGGTACTCTTCACAAAGCACCCATTTGCGTGGCTGCATTCTTGGGGCCTCTAGATCAACAAACTATACGCGGAGAATCACCTCTTTGTGGAGAAAACTGGTGTCACCCCTCTCCAACAATATGAAATTGCAACAAGGAGGACAAGGCTCAAACGTCTTGCGACAACCACCACATAATTCGAACGCACGGAACCACATTCAACGTCCGGGCACGGAATCAACCTCCTGGCCATCCAAACATGATCGAACCTCCACAATCTCCATCATCTCCAATGCTATTCTTCGCCAATGTCTGCACTGCCGTGCTTTCACAGCTGCGCAGAAGCCGTGCTCTGGAGGCTAGGACAGGGTCTGTACAATGGGAACGGGCCCTAGTGACACAACTATGGACACACCGGCAACGGCTAACAGCGGCAGCGCAAGGTCATCAAGTCACATCATGCAACGTAACATGCATACAGTGCCCCTGCACAATTATCAGCGACAGCTTCATGTCCCTTTGGAGGTGGAAACAGGTGTGCTTTCCCAAGGCTGCCTCTTGGATATTTTTACGTTTGTTCCATTGGCCGGGTGCTCCTATATTCTTATCAAACTTGCCTGGTTCCTGATGGATATGACCCTCTCAAGTGTCGCGTGGCTTGCTGAGTTCCACGGCCGCCCACAACAGAGAAAACCGGTCAAATCTGCGATGGTCAAAGGAAACCCCAAATGACAACTACAACTCTGAATCTGAACGTCGGAGAAGCACAAAACCAAGGAAGAGTCAGAGTTGACCTGACTCTAACGGAGGATTTTCACCTGTGAGGCTGCCATAAAGGCCTAGGCCCTAGGCCTCGAAAGAGAACTGATCGGTGAATCCCATCAACCCAACCTGGCAACACAGACCATTACAGACCGCCCGGGTGCTTTTTTCGCTTCCGAAGGCTGCTCGGCTCCCTAAAGACCCTGCAAGACTCAACAGCTCCAAGCACCCCAGACTTTCAGGGCACCAGTGCTCATGCGCGCCGCGCGCGCTCCGGGCCACAAGCCAGGCGTCTCGGATCACCTGCAGCTCAAGCCAATTGGTTCAAGTGGTTGGCACTCCCAGCCTACCTGGAAAAACTCCCAGTCAAACACACCAGTTTGGGATCCTTCAACCATCAACCCTTGGTGTTTACGGACTGCCAAGCCATTTTTGAACTGGACAACTAACGCCCTCCGGAAGATTTTGGATCCTACAGCTGTGGTGCCAGCATAGAAGAAATTCTCGCGACACTGGCGGCAAGGAAAGGAGGTCACGGCGATATTGTGAAGAACAGCTTTGGAAGAAGTTTGACTGTGCAAGCATGAAAAAATGTTTGGGGCGTCAGTCTTACTGTTATAAGTTATACAGTACACGTTTCATCCCGGTGCATTGCCATGGTGAGGTCTGTTCATCCCCCTTTGTAGTGATGAATCACAGGTGAACAGGTCCATAGTGCAAATGTTTTTCCACTAGGATCACGCTTTCCCTGTTTCCGTCCTTCAGGTTCACCAAGTCGAAAAGCACCAATCCCCCACCGGCCCCACCGGCAGTTTGGTGTCGGCATCCGTCTCACTGCGGAGGCCCAGCGCTGGGAAGCGATTGATCTCCAGGAGCCACGGCCAAGCACCCGGCGCGCCCCGCGCGCCTGCGTGCCCGAGCGACCGGTTGGGCAGAAAAAAAGGATGGTGCCGGGAGGGGCTGATTGTGGTGGTAAACATTTGTGGTCTGGTTGGGGCAGTGTTGATGCCACAACGGCTTTGATACTGCATCAAATCCAGGATATTAAGCTCCAGGATTTCCTGGCGTGTGCCCTGCAAAAAGGATTATATATGATTATATATGAAAGTCGAATCCCTTTGCCGGTATGAATGTTGTGAATGTCATCCTGTGTATCCCTCAACTTAACATCCTCAATTTTCCCAAGTGGCCTGTCCACTAGTCACTAGTGGTATTGGAGTGTCATCATGGAGGAAAAGATCAGGGCAGGAGCGGGCACCTTGGATTCTTCGGATCAAACATCATCCTGGAACCGAACCCGGAACCCTCCCCAATCCAAACCGTTCAGATTCAAATGCATTGTGTCTCTTAGAGAACCACGTCAAAACCGGGGAGTCTCCGAGCCTCCAACTGGGCGACACATCCGAGTGTTCGCCAGCGCGAACCATCCGGAGGCCTGGCGAGGTTTTCGAAAGGATCACGTCCATGCCCAGGATCTTCGGCAATGGAAGCCTTGCAAGTGCCAAGTGCCAGAGGATGAAGAAGGACACATGGCGAAAAGATGCCCCCTGGTGCGAAAGTGCAAGCCAACTAAGGAGGAGAGAGAAAAGTACAAATCTATAAAAATCTTGATCTGATCCCAAATCCTCTCCGTATTCTCGTCCCCAGACCCCACTCTTTCCGGTCCCCGGCACCGCTCGGTGTCGCTCGCGGTGAGCTCGCCCAGCGGGCTGCGCGCCGCGCGCCGCAGGGCGCCCTGCGCCAGCCAGGTGCCCAGGCGCCGCAGGCGGCGCCACAAACGCGCCTCGGCGAGGCGGCCGCACGCGGAGCTCCGGCGGTGGTTGCGATGGCATGGACGGTGGGCGTAAGTTGATTGAAAGTTTGAAAGGGATCCGATCACGGCCTAGCGGTGGTAGCACAAATGGAGCATTCTGGCACCAGGCCTGTAACACGGGAGAACGGACCATGAAATTCATGGATTGTCCTGATATAATTGATTTTAAACCAAAGGCGACCGAAGAGCTAGTAGTAGCTTAAGAAGCTACTAGCAGAATCGCGCACTTGTTACTTACTCGTAGCGATGCACGAACGTTGCTAGTCCAAGAAGCCAAGTTGAAGAGTCCAACGAGCCTTCGGTTCAAGGTTCGGTTCATGGCGACCGCGGCGACCGCTGCGACCGTCACCACGGCGGACAGTAGCCTTCCCCGGGTGATTCGCCCCTCGAAGAGCTTCTGGAATTGGTGGATGTGAACAGCGCGATGCGCGCATCACACATGGGTCAAAACGTATTCAACGCAAGATCGAAGGACAGATAAGGACAAACAAAGAAATCTATAGAAATATCTTTGCAACTTGGTTGAAGAAAACTCCTCTGGCAAAACTACACTGCGAAGGACAGCTTGCTTGTCCTTCATTCAGAATGGGGCAACACAATGGCGCCCGAAATGCAAAGCCGGCAATGAACTACATACAGTTACATATACATAACTAACCATCGCCCGCCCATGGTTTTGCTGAGAAGCATAGGAGCCAGGTCCGCCCCCTTCAGCCTCGACAGCTCAGAATGTTGACAAAGGACTCCCCTTTCTTAGCAAGATCGGCGTTCATATCGGTGCCTTCACGACCATCAGGCTGCCAGGCTCATGAAAGCCCAGTAGTTTCAGAACCTCTTAGACCCGTTTGAAATCTTTCGTGGATGGACCCATGCACTCTGGATCAAAACATGTGTTTACAGAACGCAGGGACCGAGCAACCTTATGCGTTTGGGTCCGAGATTTCCAGATTCGCCTCGGAATCAAAGTTACTATATATATACATATATAAAGTATACTGTATATAAGTTTTTGGATGATTCAATAGAAACGAACCAGTTCTGGAGGGCTCTCATTACACAAATCCTCCGGCCCCCGCCCAGTACTTGTTCGCTTCTCCTGCGCCTCCCAAAACCGTCCGGCCCCTCCTGCGGCAAGTGCTCCAGCCGTTGCTCCAGCCATTGGAGATCGGGCGCCTCACGCGCGTTGGCCGCGTTGGCGGCGCCCTTCAGCGTTAAGGCGGCGCGGGAGCAGTTGGTGACCTCCGGAAGTGTCGGTAGATGTGGCGATGTCACATGGCGTTTGGCGACCGTGGACCACCCCGCGATGCCAACGACAACGGCGGTCACAAGACGGAGCGCTTGAAAGTCTCGCCGTAGATTCGTGAGGAACCAAAAAGAACATACCCTAAACGCTCCATGTATGCCATATATGCCTACATTGGGGTGGTTTGGGGGTCAATGTAGGCATATATCATATATTTATATTCCATACATGGAGTGTCTGGGATATGAAGAGGTCTTACAATCCAGCAATGTTGAGACAAAAACGAATCAAGAGTCGAGTCTACAGTAAATCTATGGTACTATGGTGGTATCTGTGAATCCCACCTCCGAACCTAGAACCATTCACACGGCCGGCCCCGACCTCATTAGCATCACCAGTCTCCATCCTCCAACGAAAAGCGGGAGCAAATGCCTCTGCTCCAACCACGCTGGCTTCTAGGGCTGTTAGAAGGGGCATTGAAATCCTCATGTGTCAGCACGTCGTGATGACCTCCTTTGCTAAACACTGTCCACCCAAACTGTGCTTCATCTAGAAAACGCTATTCCAACCGGAATCATTCCAAGACCTCCGAACGCCTGCCCAAGAGCCGAGTCGGCAGATGTGAAAAATGCCTTCCCGCGTCTATGTCCAAGTTGGAGGAGTATAGTGAAGGTCCACGCACGAAGCCCGCCCCCGTGCTGGACACCTTGGATGTGCCAAGGGCTCGGTATACCAAGCCCTTGGAAGCCAGGAAGGCATGACCTGCCACAATGACCTCAGACGCCAGTCAGGTGCTTAAGTGATTTCAGAATCTCACTCTGTCCTTTCGTTTTGTGCAATCTACTCTGAAGAGGCTGTAGGTTGCAATTCTTGAGCCTGGCGTCTCGTCTTGGCAGGTTTGTAAGCTCTTTTGCTGTTTGCCAAAATCTTGCAGTAAGGCCCTGTGTGGCCAAAATGGGGCCCGACTGCGAAAGCCGATCAAAACTGTGAACTCACTGTCCAAACCTTTGAATGCTTAAGAAGTGATCACCATGGGCTTGATCAGCAATTTGGCAAGGTCTTGTTGATCTCTGGGAAGCTAGGGGGCTTGCATTACCAAGAACAACCTGGTCATGCTTCGAGGATCTTGCTAAGAAAAGGACAATCCTGCCGCCAACCAAGGTACCCCTAACTCCTCTTGACAGTCCTATACACCTCATGACCCTATGTCAAAAACTTCGGACGGGCTGCCAGGTAGAGGCGCAAGGTGAAACGACGCTCGTCCAGCAAAATGCAATCCTGGGTGTGGCTCGGAAATGAGCGTGCGGTCCGATGTGGTTTCCCCAAATAGACCGAACGTGACATACCACTATTAAGAGAATGCTTTGTGGTTTTGGCTTTCGTGAGTCCAAAGAAGTCATTCATTGTGGTGGACCCCATGTATCTTTTTGTACCCTCAACATCGTCCAGGTCTCGTGCTGGGGTCTAGGCCTCAAAAAAGCTTGTGAGTGTTCAGGGTGTTGACCCAAGACCCCAAGTCCATGCAGAGGCTCGGCCTTGTCCTCCTGCAGAAGATATCGCCCAGACTCGGAGGGAGACGCCAGCTGACTGAGGTCGCTCACGTAGCGCGAAGAATGACCGCCGTGGCCCAGTGCGGCTTTCAGCCACCACCTCTTCGTAGGTCGCGGCTAAACAGCCACATTCGAGGTCCAAAGGCGCCCAATTGTGGTGTGGCGTTCCAGCTGGGTTCTTGGATGTCTTCATGTTAAGGATTCGGTTGGGAGCGCTCTCGGTTCTCGGCACCGAACTCCGCAGCATGAGACGGTGCGGCAGAACATGAGACTCGCTGCTGGACGTTGTGTGGAAGGCAGTGCTTTATTCGTTGTACACTCCCAGAAACAATCATGAAAGTGGGAAATGACCCCTTGGATGACCGTCTGTGTCCCAGCACGCAAATCCCACGACTGAACTGTAACAAACGTTGAAATCAGTGGCACGATCGTGGAGAAGAGTGCTGTTCCTCAAAAGTGCGCTCAGAAGAATTCCGTTTTTACTGACACTCAAAAGAAGACGCCTTCCATATTTACAACATTTTACAACTGCAGTATCTGCAACACCGGCTCTGCCGCAAACATCCATGGCATGCGCGCCCGCGCCCCCCTTCTTGTGGCACCTTCCTTCTATCTTCATCCTGGCAGGTGCAGCCACATGGCCTTTGGCCAGGCTGCATCCTGAACATCCTACTGTACATCATCCTACATCGGTGGCGGTGCCGGTGGAGCCGGTGGTGGCACCGGCGCGATGCTGAACGGTCCGACGGGTGGCGGGGGTGGAGGTGACCAAAAGGCTGCAGGGTTGACGCTCGCCTTCGCCAACGGCGCTGGAGGGCGAGGGCTCGGAGCGCTGGGTGGTCGACTCGCTCTGCACCGCCCCGCACCGCTCCCCCCGCGGGACCGAGCGCGACCCTCATCGAGCCGCGCGGGGAGCGCGAGGGGCTCGGAGCTGGAGCCTCGGCTCCGCTGCTGGAGGGTGGACACAGAGAGCATCGCGGAGGCAAAGCTGCGGGAGCACCACTGCTCCGTGGCCTGTTGGGGGGATTGGATGTTCTGGCGGAGATCGGAACCATCGAGCACGTCGACCAATAAGAATCCCTACCAAAAAGGAGGGCCAACACTTTTTGACTACTTTTTGACCTCAGGGGTGAAGCATTCGACACTTCTTGGAATTCCTGTGATCCACAAACCAGGTCGAAAAATCCACACCTCGCGCGTCTCCTGGCGAGATGCCCACGCATCCAAGAGCCTCATCTGAGAGCAAATCGCGTCGAGGATGGGAACGCCGACCGCCAACGCACGCGGAACGTCGGCAGGATGGTTTGGGATGTACCATCCGGACATGTCATGAAGCTCTTCGAGCTTCTGCTCCAGTGCCCTACCAGTGAGCTTCTGGAGATGCGCATCACCCAGCAAGAAGCACCCAGACCGGACTGGCCCAACATCTTGTAGTAAGGAACCATCAGCGGCCCAAACCAAGGGATCTGCTAGCTGCTGCAACTCCGAAGTCCAGACCTCTACTTCCACCGCCAGAAGTTCTCTGAGCTCCGAGGCTCCACTGGGCGCTTCTCGGCGCCTCATCCGCGCTTCCAGCTCCACCATCCGACGGCCCACTGCCCGCTGCAGCTTCCCAGCGGTAGAGCCCAAGGCCTTCGTGTGGTGGCCTTGGTCCAGCGAGAGGTATCCCATGGAGATGGAAGGTCCAGGCAAAGGGCCCCCCAAAAACATGCTGGGAGATAGGTTTGTGTGTGTATATGCGCCCTGGGGGTCCAAGACCATTCTTAAAATAGTCTTTAAGTGATCCGAAGAGAAAAAAGAACTTCCTTTGCTTCGGTGGTGGACTTTAGATTCTAGGGTGGTACATACTTACTTTCAAATTATATGATGTGCCCAGCACAAAACCTCCGGCTGCCCCCTTCACAGTGGATTGGCCCCAGTGCACCGAGCGTCGCCGACGCCAGGCCTCCGCGCGGCACTTCCACAACCCGTCGGAGAACCTGTCGGGACGAGCGCGGTGCTCCTGCTCTTCGGCCTCGAGAACGCGATCCACCGCATGGGCAAAGTCCGCAAAGAGGCCCGCCTTCGGGGGCCATGGAAGCAAACGTCTGACTTTGAGACACTCCATGGCTCAAATGGTGTTCAGGGTTCAGAAAATTTGATCTGAAGACAGATATTGTAGATATGTGTGCCTTTTGCATATGTATGTATGTATGTATGTATGTATTTTTTTTCCTAGAGGTTGGTTGGTGCACGAAGCCGTGTTGGCTGGTCGGCTAGGCCTCAGTGAGCGACGCATCTCAGAAGTAATCCACGATCATGTGGCCTCCAGTGTCTTCATCTGTGTCTTCACGGCTGGCATCAAGCTGTGTGGAGAAGTGCAACCTTCTCGGTGTGGGGCCCGATGTGCTGCCGCCTGGGTTGTTGGCCTGTGGTGGAGGCTGATTGCCTTCTTCTGGTGTGCTGGTAGCCTGCGTTTGACTCTCAGTGTCTGGTGTGCCACCGCCGCTGGGCTTCTTTTTGAAGTAGTCACTGAGAGGCGGGGATGTTTTCATTCCTGCTCCCTTGCAGGGCCGGAGGAGAGCTTGTGTGGAGATGACTCTTTTCTCGCCATCAAGGTTGGTCTGGGTGCCACATTGAGTGCATCGAAGACGGTCCCCTTTCTGCCAAAGTGCGTGGCTGTGGTGCCCTGGATGGTGACCAGTGTAGGCCTGATCGACGCATGCATGGACTGGCAATGAAGAGTTGAAATGCTTCTGCATTGACTCTTTTGTGGATGTTGAGGCCGCACTTCAGGCATTTGAGATAGCCGGCGGTTTCTCCATATTGATGCTCCTGTGGGCTCGGAGGTGTCTGGTGCTGCTGTGCGAGCAGGTCCTTGATGACCTGTGCCCGCGTGGTCTTCTTGACAGGAAGTGCCGTTGGAGCCATGGAGGGTTGGCATGCTTCCTCAAGGAGGAGTTGTGGGCAGTCTTCTTGTAGCCTCAGTTCCAGGATTTGCTTGGTGAGGCCTTGATGCATCCTGGTGCCACAGGCCATGCATTGAAAACCACTGCGATGTGGCTGCCAGCGGTGATGAGGTTCGACCCATGGCTTGGTGCACCTGTTGACCAAGTCTCGTTTGAAGTCTTTGGTCATTTTTCCTTGGTGCCGGGGTGCTTTTTGGTGAATGTAGTGTTCCGGGTCGTCGTAGATCTTGCTCAGCCGCTGGACGGCATGGGTGTAGATCAAATGATGATCTGCGCCAAGAGTGGCTTGCCATTCTGTTTGTCGGTGATCTTGAAAGGTCCGGGCTCGTTCCCAGGCTGCTAATGCACAGTCTCTTTGTCTCCTCCTGAGCTGCGGTTCATTGCTGGTATGGTGGCCTGCTGCGTGGTTGGTGCCAAGCCTCCCATACCGTGGTAAGCTGCACGATGACCCGAACCGGTGTGGTGGTGAACTTGGCCAAGGCTACAACACCTGCGATCAAAGCCCTGGTTTTGGTTTGCTCACCACTTGCCACCCCCGTGAGGGCTCCAAGGCGCTGCAGTTGTCCAAGGTTCATGGTGTGCACACAAAGGCCGAAGACCCACATTTGATCACGGTCATCATAGGTTGAGGGTGTGGCATCAAGGGTGAAAGCCCAGCTGTTGTGCTGTTGTGGTGCAATAGGTTCCAAGCCTGCCCAGCACCCATGGCCATGGAAAGGATGTGCTTGCTGTCGGTGATCTTGTGGTTCTAAGGGAATCCAGCCTGCCGTCCATAATGGATCTTCCTCATGGCTGGTGATGCGGTTCATCCATTCTGGTGGCATGGGTTCGTGCTTTTGCTGTTTGTGCCACTTGCAAAGCCATAAAATGTGCTTGGGTGTGGCGGGGGTGTTGCACAGCGGGCAAGTTTTGACTTGAGCCGCCTCACGGAATTGTACCGCTGCCTGGACCCACGTGTTGAGATGTTGCTTGTGTCGCTGAGGCAATGACTTCTTGACTCGATGATAGGTGTGCCAGTCAATGCCGGTGAGGAGGTGCTGGTGATGGGGTCTGCTGGCAATCCTGCTAATGCGCTGCTGCTTGGCCTCCTGGAGTAGGGCCCGTTCTAGTTGCCACCAGGGCTGGTGCAGACTGAGTTCATGGGCCTGGAGGAAAGCCGTTTCCGGCCTTGTCCACCGCAGGAGGGTGGAGGCCTGCCATCCCCATTCTTGCAGGTAGGTGATGGTGGCAGCCATGGGTCCGCGGACAGTGTACCAGGGATGGTCCTTTGTCTGTAGCTGGTTGTAGGTGGCTGTCCATGCCTGTTCAAGGGCTGGGAGTTGGTCCGGTGGCCAGGCCTGCAGGAGCTGATGGATGGGCTTGATGTGGTGAATGACGATTTGGTCTCCCGGGTCTATGTAGCGCTTGGCGTGGAGATCATAGGTGCTGTCAAGGAGCCCGCCTTTGTGATGGCCCAGATGCGTGCCCATGGCCTGTCGCAGGGTGGTTCGGTGCCTGGGTGCAAGGCCTTGGCCTTCAATGCCCCACAATGCAGCTGGCTGAATGCCTCCTCGATGGAGCCTCAAACGAATTTTTAAGGCTGGGATTTTCAGGGCTCTCAGTTTAAGCTTTCTGTTCCTGGCTTTGTTCAGTCGTTGTTTCATGACTGGAATTCTACGTCTCCGTGCTGCCTGGTGGTCAACTCCAAGGTCTCTCATGACTGTTTGCACGGGTGGTTCTCCTTCCTGGAGGATGTCTTTCAATGCCTTGTCAGTGGCACGATCAGTGGCACTGAAGGCCGTTTTTTGTGGATTGACCTTTAGGCCAATGTCTTGGAGCCGCTGGTGGAGGTCTCGGTAGGCAGCTACTGCCTGCTGAGCGACTGCTGTTGGTGTTTTGGCTGCCGTGTCAAAGCCGATGTCATCGACCCAACTGGAGAGATGTACTCCTGGGTGTTGGGCCTTCCAGGGTTGGAGTGCTGGTGCCAAAACCACCTTAGCCAGCAGCGGAGCCTGAGGGCAACCGGCTGGGACTCCATTTTGAACCTTGAAGAAAGGAGTCATCTCCTGCTCAGCCACAATGGCTTTTGGGCCGGTGTAAACTTGCATGGCCATTTCAAGCATCAAGGGTGGGTATGCAAGTTGTAGTGCTTCCTGTTGTAACCTCGTGAGGTTGATGGTGTCATAGAAAGTGGACATGTCCATTAGGCAAGTGATGCCATGTTGGTGATTGGCTCGGTGCACTTCTTGCCTCAGCAGTCTCTCTAATGCCACCTGCAAGACTTGAGCCCCTGGTCGTGCTCGATCATGGCCCATCGATGGTGGTAAGGCTCGTTGCCACTGGTCCAGCAGTGGCTTGCGGAGTCGGCACCAGACCCGGTAAAGGATCGAGGTGAGCGTAATGGGACGCTCTTTGCTGCTGTTTTTGGGCAGCATCACAACCATGTGCATCTGCTGTTGTGTTGGGAGAAGGGCAGTTCTCTCCATCTCCTGGAACAGTTTGAGCAGGGGTGGTACTGCCAAAGGTGGTGCATTGCGGAGCAACTGAGCTGAGACTGCATCCGGTCCACAGGCTTTGTCCGGAAGATGTTTGAGCACCCAGGCTAGTTGGCCGATGGAGAGGGGTTCGAGTTGTTGTGCTTGTTGCTGCGCCTGTGGTCTGATGTTGGGTCGCTCATGTGCTTGATCGGTTTGTCTGATGACCCATAGTTCTCCCCAGTCGTGCAGCCGTTGGGTCATCCGTTGGTCTGGTGCCAGGGTGCGGTAAGGTCTCTCCCAGGCCAATTCGCTGCTTTTGAGACTGCGAAAGAGGCCTTTCAGGCCTTTGGCTTCTCCTTGTTTAAGCCATTCCTTGTACTGCAAATGGTTCTCATCATTGGCAGCCTGTTGCGCCTCCTTCACCTGGTGGGCGATGGTGTGGAGGACCAAGTCAGCAGCATGTGGATCTCTGAATTTGACCCAGTGGTGGCTGGTGTCCATGAGTTGTCCCCACGTGGGTGGGCCAACCCAGTGCTTGGGTGCATCCTGGAGTGCTGTGAGAAAGCCGCGTACAGGTCCTGCTGTGGTGTTGGCTGCCTGCTTCATGGCCAGTTGGAATCGCACTTTCAGTTGTTCCCAGAAAGCTGGCTTTCCCCTTTTCCACGTGGTGGTGGCTTTGGTGGGGATCAGTGGTTTGGTGACCACTTGGAGGGTAGCTCCTCTGCCTTGTGCTGCCCATGGGTGTTCTTGGAGCAAGTATTGCTCGGTGCATGAGATCCAGTCCGCCCATTGTTTTGCCGGATCGTTGGGCGGATTGCCATAGAGTTCAAGCTCATAGGCCTGGGATTGATAGGAGGTCCAGGGCCTGAAATCAATGTCAGGCGTGGTCGGCATGGGCGGGAAGTACTGGATCTGTCTGTATTCTTTGGTTGCTGCCTCCAGGTTGAGGTGTAGGGTAAGGAGTGCATGTGGTCTCCAAGGAATTCCCCACTCCGTGGTGATGGCCGTGGTGCTGGCAAGGCTTTGGTGCACCAGACCGTAGTCAATGACATTGCCAGAAAGCAGGCTGTGATCCGGTGCCAAGACTTCAAAATGAAACTTGGAAGGAAGGACCGTGCTCGTGAAGCTGCTTGGACTGTTTTGCCAATCGCCCAGCAGAATGTAGGGATGAGCAGTTGCTTCAACCAGAGCCAATAGCCTGCTGATGATCGTGGCATTGGTGTCGGTTTGGATGTTTTCGCCCGTCTTCAAGTACACTCCTGCCACTAGGATGGTGCATGCAGTGGCCTGCCATAAGAAGGCCTGGTAGCCACAGCGTTGCAGGGAGTATTTCTCAAGTGGTGTGAGGCCGCAGGAGGGATCGCCCAAGATCAGGATGCCTCCATGAGTGCCTGTGTTGTCTGCATTTGGTTGAGCTGGCGTGCCAAATGCTGTGCGCCCTCTGACCGTGAAATATTGGCAGGTTTGTTGGTGTTTCTGCGGATCCAGGTGTGTCTCGACCAAGATGTGCACTTCACTGTGTCTTGACCAGTACCAGTCAAGGACTTGTTTGCCAAAATTGGTGATATTGGCAAAGTGGATTTGGTTGTGCTCCTGCTCGAAACGTGCCCGTTTGTCTGGGCTCGGATGGAGGGGTGGGTCATAGTCCGGTTCCTCAGGACTGGGCAGTGAACGGAGCACTTGTTGTGATGTTCTGAAGGTGT